ACATTGCTTATTTTACCGTGTGTATATGTTTACATTCAAAATGTAAACAGATTTCACTAAGGAAATTTATTAAACGCCTAAATATTCAGTTTATTTTACAAATTAACTGAAAAATATGTCCATCTTTATTAATATGATAACGAATTCCAAATATTTGTTTATGTTTAATATCATCACCAAGTATAGTTCTGTATTGTTTGGCTTCTTTTCTTAGTATAATTAATATATTGTGATGTGTTTAAGCTCTTTTGATCGTCTTTATCATTTTTAGTCAGTCGGTTAAATAAATGAATGGATTATTCAGTCAATTTGTAAAATGACTGAAATATTTAGATATTTAATAAATTGCGTGAGTGAATCATATTTTACACATTGACTGTAACATATACACGCTTACAAAAGAAAATACTTGTGAAAACAACGTCTATCGCGCATCGAAAAACTTCCCAACCAAACGGAAAGGAACAAGAATGATTCTGTTCAAAGCTGCAGCGAATGAATGAAAACAAAATGCAAATATCATTATTACAACCTACCAAAGTTATAATGTATCCGGGAATAGCAACATAAAGGAACAATATCCATTGCGTCTGCAGCTCTACAAAAATACTTATTCGATGTCAAATGTCTAAGTGAGAATCAAATACTTTAATAATGATTAAACAATATTTGGAATATATATGAAATATATTAAAATATTGAAATATATCGTTTTTAAACGTTATTTAAATGTATCGAATATTATAACCCGTGTTTGTTTCTTAACTGATCACTTAGTTTGTTTCAACTGTTTCACATAGGTGCCAAGTTAGCTGAGAAAGCCCACGTGACAACTATTTTTATAATGTCCACGGTTCTTAAAAACATACATTGAGTTAGATAACAATGAACAACCAGTCAGTGTATTATCGGTTACCCTTTGAACAAAGTATGTTGTTTTTACATCTGTACTTCACGCCATGATATGAGTGTATTCCCTAGGTTTAGTAAACCTACCTTCACACGTAAACACTTACTTTTGACATATCCACTGTGCAAGATAACAGTAATTAATCAATCAACGCATTTCCTCTTGATCCTTTGATGTCTGGGAATGATCAGTTGATTTACAAAAAAAGTAAAGCAACTGACCATACATCTCTTGCTGGGCTGCCACGTGCATATCACATAACTCACATTCCACCTCACTTCAAACCTGGATTTAGATTGAATAATTACCCCAGGTACAAGAAAGACCAAATTTGAACCTTTATAATCTGAGTGGTGCTACAACTAAGTATACATGTTATAAATTCATTAACTGAGCAGCAAGTGAATTCCGACAAATATACAAGTGTAGGGTTATACCAGAAAATGTGGATGACAACAAGGGAGTAGTAATTGTATCATCCACGCAATCCGAAATCCGCAAATGCTTTCACTCAGGGATACTTTTTTATTATTAAACTGTAACCATCAGGGGTATTTCCAAATAACGACATCCGATGAGCTTTCGCCGTTATTTGTCTGTTTGTTTAGGCTGAAGAAATTAATTACCATGCGCCCTTTGTTGAAATCTTCATAGATCACGGGTAACCAATCAGTTTTCAAAAATGCGTAAGCTTATTTAGCTGTCCTTGCAGACTGGTAGCCCAGTCTCTTGTCACGCTCGGTTGCGTTAACGAGCAAATTGACTCAATGCAGCTAGAAAGCCCAAGCGGAAATCCAAAGGTCGTATTACCTGAAGAATCAACCTTCATTTGCGAAATATCTACTGCTCTCAAAATTAAAGACAGAACTTTCTAACCAAGGATTACCAGTTGAAACTGGTCGATGGCTGAACATTCCCAGGGAAGACAGCCAGTGTCCACTCTGTGAATCTTTCGCTGTGGGAGATGAATTGCATTATTTATTCCAATGTGAAGCTTTTCACCAACGGCGATATGAACTCTTAAATAAGCAATATCTTAAGTTTCCAAACATTTAAGAAAATTATGACCACTAACAGTGTAAGAAACCTAAAAGGCCTATCTAAATTCCTTAACAATTGGTAAATTGTATAAGTATCCACGTATCCTATTTTTATTATTTTGGTTAAATTGTACATAATAAAAATTGTAGTAGTTGTATGTCATGTTATTCTAAGAATAAATGAGTTTGAGTTTGAGTCCGACACCCGAGAAGAAGCCAGAGATTAGTGCCCCTCTTTGAATAGTTTACAATCATGTGTTTTAGGGTTAGCTGTGTTGGCTTAAACGTATTTTTATTTCAAAAGAAATCTGGATCGGTAAACAAGCAAAACTTGCTTATGTAATACCTCTCCAGGTAACAACTTAACAACAGCTGGATATATATAAGAGAGTGATGAACATAAACATACAAAATGCACAAATGAAATACACGAAGCCAATACACTGAAGCAAATGGTGTCTGTGAAATAAGGTAATGCAGTTTTCCTTTACTACATGCATAAAATTAAGCTACTCAAACCTTTTGCTTTTGACAATGATGTCGTGAAATGATTTAAGAAGAGTCATGTTTGTAGAACTGCTTAACTACTGCCACGTAATATCATTTTTAGACCATACCCATGTGTGTAGAAATACACAGTGTTTCTGATATTATCGTATTTTTTGACAGTTATAGAAAAAGTGAATTGCATCTTCAAGGTGATATCCACAAGTGCAGTCTGGTATGTCTGATACATGTCGTCTAAACTTATCAGCGTTTAAGTCACTGCAGCCGAGCCTAAGGCGACAGTGGACAATTTGGCATGATCTATGAAAATATTTGAAGTCAAAATTATTAGTAATTGCATCAGAACGATTAATTAATGATTTGATTTCTTTTAATGAGCGAGCATTAGTTACTTCATCGGATAGAGGGTTCCGCAGGTTGATCATATCCAGAAGAAATTAGGTCTGTGTTCTACTTTTGATTGTTTGTATGTTGAATCTATTTCTAAGGTTATATTTGCTGTTATCAGAGAATTGAATATACACTTTTCAAATATTTTGGCTAAGCAACTTGTGAGTGCTACAGGTCTATAATTTGAGTATTCATGTTCATCGCTGACACTGACACCACATCAGCCCGGCAGTGGACTTGACACAGTTATTTGCGCACCGATTATATAACTCCTACAGACTGGCTGGGGTGGTTGTTTAAAGCGAAACGGACGACCCCGTCTGTTATCTAATATATGCTGTGCGGCGCCTTTGATCTTGCCTCAAAACATACACCTTATAGTAGTAAACGACGATCAGGATGGCCTGGAAATAAACACAATTCTGTCTGCCCAGTGTATCCACAATTAACTAGAATGCTTCATATCCACAAATATATATATAGAAAATAGATATTTGCCCACAGCAAATATTCATTTGCTTAATTGCATCAGTATGGTTTATCAGAACATGTACAATGCTTTCTTACGCTTGGTGACGCAGACTGAAATTGAACATTAGGATAACGTCAGCAGGGATAAAAGAGGTCATACCAAAGAACTTTATTTACTAGTGGAAAAGTCAGACATTCCGATCAACCACTACAAGGCCCGGCCGGATCTCAAGGTTGACCAGATCAACACCCCAAAGAAACATCTCTACGCCAAACAAGGAGTCCCTTTCGTCATGGTGCACAAGAAGGGGGGACAGGACATCGAGTACGACATCACAAACTACACAGACTTGTACCACTTCTTCCAGAGTAGTGGCGTACCGACCTCAAACCACTTCGTCGCCAATACCGCCGCCCTCCTTGCCAAGAGTCTCTACCAGAATCCGACCCCCAGGATGAGAAGCTGACCAAGAGACTACTAGAAGGATACCGCCGCTAGACTTCAAGCCACACATGCTCGCCAGCCGACGCCGTGCCTTCCCACGCTTACCCACAGAGAAAGAAAGGATTAAAGTCACCCATAAATCTTATCCTAACGTAGTACTCCAACTTCTAAATGCCTCTCAAAGAAGGATTAAAATCCTAAAGATATCCTATCTACGTGTTATAGGTACTCACAACCTCTAATAATAAACGGTTACGTTTGGTATCCCCAGCAATACTCACTATGGTCATTGGGCAAATGTAAAAATCACAAACCCTAACGAGATTCTGTCTACATGGTCACACCCGGTGATTGTGAAGATCTCAAATTCTATCAACAGTCAGACAGCATGGCTGTTCATATTCATTTACAACATCCTCTTATAAATAGTATAAAAGTGTCCCACACAAAACCTTCTTTTATTTATTCTTTCAAAATACGAAACAGAAAGTGGGGTGTGGGGAAATGGGACATATTCCTACGTGAAATAATGAGACATTAGTAGTGGTGACGGCTATATCATAATTGTACTGTCTAAAGCATAAATTTGGCGAACGAAAAACGTTATATTTGCAATCAAATGGAATGACTCGTGTGGGCAAATGAATATGTTCGCAATCCACAAACAATCATTTTATTAATGGCGAACATTTACCAACCCGCGACAATCGTGTCAACACGGGGGTTCCCCTAGCAATAAACTCGCATCTAAATTCACTACTGTTCTACTGTCGGCTAGCCACAATGGCTAGACGGGACCCTAGTGGAATGGTTCATGCCATAAAAGTCTAACAACCGAACACTAATTAAGACGGGCCGACCTTGTATTTACGGTCTGGTGAACACAGCTCAATGGCCGCTCATTAACTCAAATTTCACATCTCACTGTTTTGTTTTATCTCACTATTCATTTGATAATTTTGTCAACTTCAACTGGAACCCGGTCCCGTGTTACACGCGTGGCACACGCTTGTGCAACGGGTTGCACACGCGCTGCACACCCGTGTCCAACGGGTGCTCACCCCGTGTGCAACCCGTTGAGCACCCGTGTGTCACATGCGTGTTACACGCGTTCTCAACGCGTGTTAGGGGAATGAACTTTTAGGCAGTAGTGTAGCGCAGTACAAACATTGCTTAACCAAAAAATACACTGCCTCAAATGTCTCATGTCATTTGGGTCACGTGTGGTACAGTCATATCCCGATATACTCCAGAGGCGTGTTTTGTTTTGACCGACTTACCCGCACCACACGTCGACCTGACAAACAGGCAAGGATTGTGACATCAGCACATGCGAGGTGACCCATTTAATCTAGAAACTAACTTGATAAGCGCATTGAAGGAAGGTTGATCTAGCTCCTCAAACTGTAAGTACGAAATGTTGATGAATTGTGGACAAGCACAGAATTCTTCAATGAGTATACAATATAATGTTACTGGCGTAATTAGAGCTACACATCTATGTTTGTTGAGTAGTACAAGTGAGTATTATTGACGTAACTATAGGTACATGTAGTACACATCCAGCCGGAAGCATAGTGGTAACTTCCGTATTGTTTATTGAGTAGTACATTATAGTGTTATTGAGATAACTAGAAGTAGGACACATCATGTCGCAGTGACTAGCAGTAATGCACGTCATCGTTTTTTTTAATAGCCCTGGTTATTCGCGAGCATAGCAGCGAAATAAGGTTCTTTTGTTTAACGACAGAGTAACCACTATTTCAATTCTATCTTGACTGCATGTAACGTAGGTTCACCATAGAAGCTCTGCACTGCTCCGCTGTACTGTCCGAAATCTACTGGTCGCGAGAACATAGCGACAATTCAGGCCTTCTGCAGCTGATTTTAGAGGGGCCTTCAAATTACAGACCATCGTGGACAGTATCATATGGCCTTGTCCCAAACAGTTTATTGTTGAATAAGTCTTAAAATAATCTAGAGGGTCATGTTGAATACTAGCATAATGTGTAAGGTAAAGGTTTGTAAAAAGGTCACATTATACACACATGTTCATGTCACATTACATATATTAGTTCGGATAACATTACACATGTCGTTTCAGGTCACATTACACACATCGTTTCAGGTCACGTTACACATAGGTCCGGTACACCTTAAACACGTTGTTCCATGTAAGATTACACACATTGTTTCAGGGCACATTAGACACATTGTTTCATGTCGAATTACACAAATTGTTCCAGGTCACATTACAAACCTTGTTTCGGGACACATTAAACACATTGTTTCTGGTAGCATTTCACAAATAGCCCCTGGTCACATTACAAACATTGTTTCGGGAGACATTAAACACATTGTTCACAAATAGCCCCAGGTCACATTACAAACATTGTTTCGGGACACATTAAACACATTGTTTCTGGTGGCATTTCACAAATAGCCCCTGGTCACATTACAAACATTGTTTCGGGAGACATTTAACACATTGTTTCTGGTGGCATTTCACAAATAGCCCCTGGTCACATTACAAACATTGTTTCGGGACACATTAAACACATTGTTCCTGGTGGCATTTCACAAATAGCCCCAGGTCACATTACAAACATTGTTTCGGGACACATTAAACACATTGTTTCTGGTGGCATTTTACAAATAGCCCCTGGTCACATTACAAACACTGTTTCAGGGCACATTACACACATTGTTTTATGTCGAATTACACAAATAGCCCCAGGTCACATTACAAACATTGTTTCGGGACACATTAAACACATTGTTTCTGGTGGCATTTCACAAATAGCCCCTGGTCACATTACAAACACTGTTTCAGGGCACATTACACACATTGTTTTATGTCGAATTACACAAATTGTTCCAGGTCACATTACAAACATTGTTTCGGGACACATTAAACACATTGTTTCTGGTGGCATTTTACAAATAGCCCCAGGTCACATTACAAACACTGTTTCAGGGCACATTACACACATTGTTTTATGTCGAATTACACAAATAGCCCCAGGTCACATTACAAACATTGTTTCGGGACACATTAAACACATTGTTTCTGGTGGCATTTCACAAATAGCCCCTGGTCACATTACAAACACTGTTTCAGGGCACATTACACACATTGTTTTATGTCGAATTACACAAATAGCCCCAGGTCACATTACAAACATTGTTTCGGGACACATTAAACACATTGTTTCTGGTGGCATTTTACAAATAGCCCCTGGTCACATTACAAACACTGTTTCAGGGCACATTACACACATTGTTTTATGTCGAATTACACAAATAGCCCCAGGTCACATTACAAACATTGTTTCGGGACACATTAAACACATTGTTTCTGGTGGCATTTCACAAATAGACCCTGGTCACATTACAAACATTGTTTCGGGACACATTAAACACATTGTTTCTGGTGGCATTTTACAAATAGCCCCTGGTCACATTACAAACACTGTTTCAGGGAACATTACACACATTGTTTTATGTCGAATTACACAAATAGCCCCAGGTCACATTACAAACATTGTTTCGGGACACATTAAGCACATTGTTCCTGGTGACAATACACACATTGTTTCAGGTTACATTACACATCATTTCAGGGCACATTATATACATTGTTCAAGGTCAAAGTTTTCTTTCATCACACAAACTCTTTCATGTCAAATTAAACACAGTGTTCCTGTTGACATTATACATATTGTTTCAAGTCAGAATACACATTGTTTCGGGTCAGATTTCACGCATTGTATCAGGTCAGATTACACATTGTGACAGGTCACATTATACACATCGTTTCAGGTCACAATACATGCATTGTTTCAGGTCACATTATACATTGTTTCAGGTCACAATATACACATTTCAGGACACATTTTATTCATTGTTTCAGGTCACAATACACGCATGATTTCAGGTCACATTATACATTGTTACAGGTCACAATACACGCATGATTTCAGGTCACATTATACATTGTTACAGGTCACATTATACACAACATTTCAGGTGAAATTATACACATTGTTTCAAGTCACATTATGCACATTGTTTCAAGTCACATTATGCACAATGTTTCAGGTCACATTATGCACATTGTTTCAGGTCACATTACACGCGCTGTTTCAGGTTACATTATACAAAATATTTCAGGTCACATCATATATATTCTTTTTAAGTCACATTAAACACATCGTTTCAGGTTACATTATACGCATTGTTTCAGGTCACATTATACACACAGTTTCAGGTCACATAATACACATCGATTCAGGTCACATTATACGCATTGTTTCAGGTCACATTATACACACAGTTTCAGGTCACATAATACACATAGATTCAGGTCACATTACACGCATTGTTCCAGGTCAGATTACATTTTGTTTGAGGTCACATTATACACATCGTTTCATGTCAGATTTTACATTGTTACAAAGCACATTATACACATCGTTTCAGGGCACATTATGTACATTGTTCAAGGTCAAATTTTAGGTCACACAACACTCACTGTTTCGTGTCAAATTAAACACCGTGTTCTTTGTCACATCAAACACATTGTTTCGGGTGACATTATAAAGGTTGTTTCATGTCATATTCTTTCACGACATATTTGACATGTATTGTTCTAGGTCACATTGAAATATATACATTGTGTGTGAAAATGTGGTGCCAGGACTTATGAATTACATCAAGCAATACCAGTGAACCTTATATTACATAACACATTGGCCAATATAACTGTATCAGATCAAGGCGAAAACAAATAATACAAATATGTATGCTTTGTTTGTAAAATGTAAGATTAAGGACTCAAAACGCATGAATCGGAACAGGGGCCGAGCAGCAATATTTGCAGAGCTTTTTTCCTTGACATAGTTTGATCATCTGCTTCACAGTTTGCCAAGATGTCGACCCCAGCGGAAATAGCAGTGGCGGGCGGGTTTAATTTCGATCTGACGGCTGTGGACGGTGCTGTTCAGATGAGTTTGGTTGCTGACACGTTAAGAACGTTGAAGTCACGTCGCCTCTGGAACGATGACATCCTTCTGTCTACATACCCTAAGTCAGGTAACATGGTTGTTAAAGATAAGTGTGTGGGTGACAATGTATCTTGAGCTCCAACCAATCATTTCAATAAATTCTACCTTTTATCCAGTCACTGAACGAGGACGTTGAATGATAGAGATTAACCCAAAGCAACTTTATCATAAATTGTCTTATGATAACGCAAGGCACTCACTGGACGTGGGAGATCCTCAACATGATCGTGGCAGGCAAGGCCGAGTACACCAAACACTGGCAGAACTCTGCCTGGCTGGAATACAGGACCGAGGAAGAGCTGGAGGAACTGGCATCACCAAGGATCCTTCACACCCATTTACTGCCAAGGTAATTAAGAAGGGCATTCGTACCATCTTCTGAGAGAATGCATACATGACCCCTGGTATGTATTATGTATGCGAACGTGTTTTCATCTTCAGTGTTAATCCTACTCACTACATTATAACCTGTAGCAGAATCACGAGGGTACATGGAGTTTTATGCGTATCACGTTAGGTTTTATACAACGAGGGACGCATAAAACCCCATTTTGGGATCCTGCTACAACGAATTTATCTCAACGACATGTTTCAATAGGACATTGTAAAAGAATTCAAACAAATTCAAAATTGATAGAAAATAGCTGTTCGATTGAGCTGAGATTAGCATGCTATGTCAGGTGACTTTCTTTGACTCCGAAAAAGCATGCGGCTTTTTCCTTGGAAGCGTGGTATAAGGGATATATTCTTTCTCTAAGAAATCCACGTGCAGGCTCATTTGCTCGTGGCGGGGTATAAGAGATTTATTACCCCGCTGAGAAATGTATTCCCCTCCATGAGGAGTTACACTGTTGGTCACGTAGACAAATCAGATCTAGCTATTCTGACATGGAGATTTGATAATGTCTGTTCTCACCACTATGCATGTTGCAGTTGTATATGCATTTACGAAAGATCTGTATTTATCAGAGTGTTTATGCAATTCACGCATCCAGGCAGCTGCCCGAGACAGTATGGAAGCAGCGGAATAAGGTGGTGTACGTCTGGAGAAACCCCAAGGACTGCGCTGTGTCTTGTTTCTGTCAGGACAGCCAACAGGTGTGGAGGGACGGCACCCAAGATAAATACAGCTTTATGGGATCATGGGATGACTACCTATCCTTGTATCGGGATGGTTATGGTATGGCTAGCTTTACCAAGACGCAGATACATGCTTTTGATGAACCAGTTTGGTTGATATACATATGCGTACATATGACATACTTTAGGAACAGAACAGAAGAGAACAACATAACTCCTACTGACGACTATTACACATGTTTTCTTATTTCATATTCAATTCTTTTCTTAAAGCTCCGTCTGGGTCGGTTTTCGAACATTTTCATGATTGGCACAAAGCAGCTGAGGAACAAATGATATGTCAGATTCAGTATGAAGATATGATAAAAGTAAGTACCTCGATAAGAAATATTATAGCATATATACTAACATGGTATCAAAGGCGATACATATATATTGAAGTGTAAAATCGGCACTGCTTCCACCTTTCGGATGAATATGGGAAGCGTTATCACGCTTTTATTGACTAAAATCATCAGTAGAACAATCGAAACGATCTCCTAAATGCTAATGTTATGACGAGAGTCCACAAAGTTACAGCAATGATGGGAAACGGAAGTTCTGTTTAATATGATGCAATTGATCCTGTGTTTACGGGATCTTCTAAGAACGTGTTCCAGTGTCGTTCTTTATATTAACCATTATCAGTGGCTATAACACTATAAATGGATATAACATTTAAGCCCCTACATCAGTACGAGACTAGTGTTTATACTTTCTAGTTAATACACTTTAAGCAGTTGTGTGTGCAACATCTAATGTGTCCACGAAATCTGTTTTACTTCAAAAGAATTGCGTGCACGAGATAAGAAGAATTGCTGAATATCTTAACCGCCCTCTCCCGGAGAAAACATACGTTGCGATAGCAGAAGCATGTTCCTTCAGCAACCTGAAACACGCCAACGAGAACATCAAGGACCAGACGTTCCACAACAAGTGGCAACAGGGTTCAAGTGGATACTTCAGAAAAGGTGACTGTTTGGCATGTAGCACCCGTGAAGATTCGGGTAGACAAAAGGTCTTCAGCAACCTATGCTTGTCGTAAGAGGCGGCCAACGGATCGGGTGGTCAGACTAGCTGACTTGGTTGATGCATGTCATCGTATGCAAATTGCGTAGATCTATGCTGACGATATCAAGCACTGGCATGTCTGGTCTAGATTCGATTATTTACAGACTGCTGGGATATGAGTGCGGCGTAAAAACACATAAAAACAAAAACTCGTCCAGTAGACAAATAAAATGCACCTTTACTTATAGGAATCAAAGCAAGTCGATGATGGATATTGCTATTCTAGACTTATTAGATTTAACAGTTCAAGAGTGAGAAACATTATTTGCGTTCGCAATGTTCCAGAGTAGTCATGTAGTCAATCTGGTATACAATTTCGACTGTATCATAAGCCTGGCTTGAATCATTATCACTTATTCATGCATGAATGAATAACAAAGCACAAAAGTAACTGCAGTTTCAACTTTTGTCTATCGTTGCAAACAACTTTATACGATTTGGTTTGGTTTGTTGTTTTACACCGCACTCAGCAATATTACAGCTATATGACGGCGGTCTGTAAATAATCGAGTCTGGACCAGACAATCCAGTGATTGATATCATGATCATCCATCCACGCAATTGGGATCGATGGCAAGCATAAACCAAGTCAGCTAGCCTGACCACCCGATCCCGTTAGTCGCCTTTTACGACAAGCATAGTCACCTTTTACGGCAAGCATGGGTTGCTGAAGACCTATTCTACCCCGGATCTTCACGGGTCCAACTTTTTACTAGGGGTGGTTGAAAAGTTTTGCACCTAACTATGAAGGATGTACAGTACACTCTTAACAGTTCGATGTATAAAGAAAACTACTATCCAAGCTTACATAATGCATTTGAACTAAATACTCACTAGACAGCATCAAAGTGACTTGGTTTTCTCTATTTGATGAAAATGGACCAAATTGGCTATTGCGCTGTCAACAAGTATCAACAACAGTGTCAACTGAAAGGGAAGAGTGCTTCACGGTGGAAGAGAGAGCCTCCAGGATGATCAAGAAGACCGTCAACCGCCACGACTAAGAAACATCGTGACACAATACATGACATGATTATTGATGATCAACGGCATTTCACATAGCCAATGCAGTTGACATCTCTAATGAGAGACTTTGAGAACATTCTGAAGAATGAACATGGTTCCGACTTCTGATCAGAAACATTCAAGATTCATCATCTCTTATGAGCGAGCATCTATGTCAGTTTATAGCAGACCAAGCTCATTGTGTTGAGTGAAGTGTAATCATGGATGTCTTATGTTCACCACTATCACCAAAAGAGACTAAAAAATCAAAGCATTGGCAACATCTACCCTCTCCTCCTCCGAAGATGAAGGCATAGTCTGTTTCATCAGCTGACAAGACGATGTAATCCTACTGATGGACTGCCTCCCGAAAGGTCAGGTCATTAATGGCCGATGTGATACTAGTTTGCATAGGCAACTGCGCGAGAATGTCACAGCTAAAAGTCATTGACAACTCTCTGAAGGTATGTTCTTCCACCAGGTCTCAGACGTTTACCATTTCGGTGAAACACACGAGCACGGGTATGGTGCCGACTAACCTAGGAACATAATCGGGGCGAACCGGGATTCGAAACCACAACCATAGGTTTCTGGCGTGCCCAAGGGACGCAACTCTGCACGGCGAATCGCGGCGCCTTAGACGACTGGGCCACCCGTGCTCCCTCCAAAACATTAAGAAAGAACTTTCGGATAAATATAATCCATATAAAGATGATGTTATTTCTGCTATGGAATACCTTTACACCACCAGGGGAAGCTTTCTACACCAGTGAGATCCAGACACACTTGCATCGTTGTAAGAAGTGTGTGGACCGCGGAAGGAATGATGTTAAAAAGAAATCACTCAATCAGCGCAGTCCATCGTAGTTAGGCTCAGAACTTTTCAGCTCCCCAAAGTATGGTAGTCCAAGTCATTGTTGTTAATACACAATAATTAAATGAAAGGTGTTTTTTGGTTACATAAATTTTCATTGTTTTATTTGTGTATGTCTATTTTTGAAGGTTGCCGTATCTCAAGATATCAAGAAACCAAAGATCCAAAGAATCTATGTAATGATACATTGATTTTACTTTACAGGGAAATCCGGTGATTGGAAGAACTGGTTTACAGTCGCCCAAAACGAGAAGTTCGATGAAATAAGCGAAGCAAAGCTCAACAAAACCTTCCCCTATTGAAATTCATTTCCAAGGTGATCATAAAGGGACCGACTATTATAACAACAGGATTATTAACAAGACAGACAGAGGTTGAGTGGCAATGAACAAACTAAGTTGAGAAGTCGACTGCCATGAGGAATGTCACTTGGACTGCCACGTAATGTTTCGGTTTTGGCACTAAATACAGAGAATACGGTAATCTCTTCAGAAGAAACTACCTTAGCATAAATGCACAATTGCATGAATTCCAGTTATATTTAATTACTCCAGGTCGTATTTGTTGATCATATTCCAGTAGATAGGACAGTTTGACTCTTCAGATTGAGTAACCAAGGCCATATACACCTTGAAAAGCGGTATACATTATTTTTATATATCCCAGCCATAGTCATGTATAGCTACAAGCGACATTCATCATTTACTGTCTAAAATATCACTGATGCCTGCTGATAAATTCGTACAAGAAGACTGAGTCGTGTCGATATCAATTACGGATAAAATCACTCTTTTGTAATGTAAAGAGCAAGGGACACAAGACAAATCACCTTTGCCATGGAACAGTTATTAGATAATCGGATACTCCATGTACAGAACCATGCAATTATATCCACTTTAAGACTATCCAGGGACAACGTATTTCTAATCGGTTGCGTTTGATTGTGATGTGCTGCGGGTTACAGTTGTGGTATCTGCGATTCCATCATGTTTTGCCTGTACCAAACACAAAGAGTGTGAAATATAACAAATGTAAAAGAATAATGACTGTGTTGTAGAGTAATAATGATGTGGCATACTGTTGTTATTATTCTATTCCTCGAGGAATACATCGAAACAGCAAGGAGTAAAACTGTTGTGAGGTACCTTTACTGCAAACGGTTAATGTCAAATCACAATAAAAGCATGCCAATGGCAATTACATTTTCAGAATCATGTATTCTTTCAACACCATCGCAAAAGATCAAGTTGAAACCAATGGTCATATAAATAAGCTGGATCTGTTTGATCACAACAGAACTCATATTGTCCCACAAAATCACATCTAAAAAGGAGACATCAGCAAGTAAATATATATCAAATGTGTATCAACATTTTTCGCCGGGATATCAAAAATTTATCTCCTTGTTACCACCTACAAGTTCAGCTTAACATAGGTGCTCCTTTGGTCAAAAGTGTGTTTCCCGTGTAATGAGTGTGTCAGGCGTTGCACACGAGGGGCGAACGGGGTGCACACCCGTGTTCAACGCGTTGAGGACGGGTTCCACGCGTGTGACCTTCGGGTTGCGTCTTAACTTCATTTGGTATGACGCGGCCGGGGATCGAACCCCGGACCTTCCACTCTCCGGGCGGACGCTATACCACTTGACCATGGAGGCGTTTTTTTTTCCATATTACGAATGAAGGATACAATTCTCGTGAATTGCTGAAATTATGTTTTTTTTCCTAGACGACCCCTAACATAGCCACAGGACAAGCTCTAACATATCACACAAGACAAGCCCTGACATAATCACAAGGCAAGCCCTTACACAACCACAAGGCAAGCCCTAACACAACCACAAGGCAAGCCCTAACACAACCACAAGGCAAGACCTAACACAACCACAAGGCAAGCCCTAACACAACCACAAGGCAAGCCCTAACACAACCACAAGACAAGCCCTAACACAACCACTAGACAAACTCTAACACAACCACAAGGCAAGCCCTAACACAACCACAAGGCAAGCTCTAACACAACCACAAGACAAACTCTAACACAACCACAAGGCAAGCCCTAACACAACCACAAGGCAAGCTCTAACACAACCACAAGACAAACTCTAACACAACCACAAGGCAAGCTCTAACACAACCACACGACAAGCCCTAACACAACCACAAGGAAAGCCCTAACACAACCACAAGGAAAGCTCTAACACAACCTCTTTGGACAAGGGCTTGTTTGTTTGTTGTTATATATTCTCGCGACCTGTATACAACCGAGTCTGGAAAAGACAATCAAATTTAAATGCGTGATATTATGACCAAAGTGTCGCGCCGTCGGGGTTTGAAAACACGCTATTTGTTTGTTGTTTAACGCTTCTGCGTTATCGCGTTATACGTTGCTGCGAACTTTTTCTTACCCGGATTCCCTACGGAGATGTGTTTTAAATCGTTATTCTTGCTCAGAAGTTGTTTGATCGAGGTTACAACATTCAAGGCTTCAGTAAGCTTTCAAAACGGTTTATGGTAGACATGTGGAGGACATTTCTAAATTTGACGCATCAGTGACGAAAATAATGTGCGATGCAATCCACTATTTTGACTTGTACCATATGTTCCCGTGTTTTTTCAGGTGAACATTCGACTTGCCTTTGCATGTGTTTGTGACGGGTGCCACAGACAGGGGAGGATACACTCACCTTTTCGCGAACACCTGGTATCATAACTACTTGATAGTGATGCATAAACACTTGCTCATGATCGATTCTGGTTTATGCAGTGATATCTGGTGGAAAGGGTTTTGTCGCTTTATTTTAAAAGCAGCTAATGGGTAATGGCGCGGTTTTGATCTTGAGTGAGTGAGTTAAATTTTTCATCGCATCGGCAATATTGCAGCCCAATCGCGATGAGAACAAGATAATAATTTCGATATTCCTGTCAACAAAGGACAGTAAAATGGTAGGGTAAATATCACAATTAAACAATAAAACAAACCAGATCAAATTTAAAACACCATTAAGTACATAGAATAATAATATCAATTAAAAATAGGCTATAAACCACCAGCAACCAAAGTTAGACCACCTCACTGGGGATCATGGGGACTTACATTACCTTTGCTTCCTGCATGAATCCCCAGCAGGATTTAAGTCATCACTTTAGACACCAGTGGCTGTACCATATGCTTGCCAATATTAAAAAGACACAACAAAATTTCTAAAACACTAGTCAATATTATATACTTTGATTGATAATGGATTTATGTGTCACTGGCAGGAGGGTTTTGATCTTGATCTTGGTTGTCGTAATCATACATTTTGAGACGCAATCATACGTTTTGAAAGGCAGTGTGTACTGTTATCTGGGAGGATTCAGTAAACATACAAATAGTTATGAAAACGTAATTAACATGAACTTGATATATAAATATGTTCAACAAGTAGATCAAATCATATTCAATCTCAATGAAGCATAACAGCTGTACTGCAGTGTCTCTCAGAGTCATTCGTATAGCGGGAAATGCTCCATGCTGCCGTGGACACGCAATCACCAAGTCTCCAAGTTTGACCAACCGATCCCCTAAGTCGCTTCATACGACCAGTAATATTGCAGGGAACATGTTCTAAATGGGACTAACTTAAATAAAAGTGGCAACATCCTTCATATATATCAACGTTATTGTCATAGGCTAAGATCTGTGAGGGGTCAGGTTTTTCCTCAAGGTCATAGCCAGAAGAAAAAAGGTTTGTTTACCGCTTCTTATGTGATAACGATTTACTACAGATCAATGACACTTCGTACACGTGTTTGTGTGTGATAAAGATTTACTACAGATCAATGACACTTCGTACACGTGTTTGTGTGTGATAAAGATTTACTATAGATTACTAAAGTTTGGGCCCACGGGCATACCTTCAAATGTTCACCAAAATGTTGGTTTTTTGTAAACTTTGGTACATCTTCCTTAACGCCATAATGGCAGTTCTGCTTCTTTGTGTACTGGTAAATCCCCGTGCGATTTGTGTAATATATGCGAAAGAGGTTTAAACTGGGAATAGTTTAGCTTGTGATAAGCAGACATTGATGGTCAGGCCCATAACACAGGAAGTGGAATCATGTTAGCTTGAGGCAAGAAACTTTAGTCTGGTATGAGGCTGAGCTCAATTTTATCGAACCAAATATTATGGTATCGCGCTAGACATGCGTTGGTACACAATATTGTTTAAATTACTGTCGGAAATGCTAGAAAACTGCTTTTTGCCTGTTAAGAAAGACTATAATTTTTCACAGACAGTTGTTATTGAAATATCGAGTAACTACCGATCGCCCTACCTGTGGTTTGAAGTATTTCAGTCACAAGGAGTCCTATCGACAAGTTTACAGGAGACAAATTCGAACGAAAACAGGAAGTTCACATTTATTCTAAGACCATGGTGACAGTCTGAAACGGACAATAGAGATATGCGCACGTGACTCCGTCATAATGATAATAATGTAGTCTTCATAAAACATTTATTCCACACACAAAAATCATTTTGGGAAATTTCTAGATGTGAAACTTCTAAAATGATCAAATGACGTTGCGGTTTATTTTTGTTAACATTGCTCCCATGGTGCATGTTACATTACACTTACATAACCATAACCATGGTACACGATATGGAGTCTGTACAGGGAAATGTATACAAGTTCTTTATACTTTAGAGAGATAGAGGGAAACCATTTATTAAATTAGATAGGTTGAATTACCGAACTGTCCAAGCTATGGGGTTTTCAATTCATACCATCAAGTCTACGGTATGATAAGAAAACAAAACAGATATAGGGGTGGTCTCAAAACCAAAACTGGGACGTTAAAGGATATTAGACAGCTTTGATACAGGGTGATTAGGCGTATAGTGTACAAGCTTTATGAGCAGAAGGTAACCCTGACTTGTAGTAGAATTTGGGAGGAATTAAAGATACGATTAATGTTTCCCAGACTGCACTATTGCTCTCCAAGAGATGGGATTTTGATACGCTGCACGTGGCGATGACCGAGCACTTTTCAGGAGAAAATATTCCATCCTGTCTGTGAGGTCGCATTATCTCCGAACCATTCAGAACCATCACAGTCAGGGCGTCCAGAATTTTTTTGCTTTGATGAATCATTCCACTGACTATGTGGCTATCGGCACAGGTAAAGGTGATCGTGTCATTGTTTTGTACGCTGCAACCCATGATATGGGGCTTATTGATGGATGCGTTCAAGTTTTCGAGGCGAAAAAGAAAACTGGTGATTTTCATAATGAAATTATAGGAGGTGATGTGTTCATAGACTGGTTGTAACTTCAGCTGTTGCCCATTTTAAACAACGCCAGTGTTATTGTCATGGATAACGCCAGTTAATAAAACGTCCGGGAATCAGATACTGTCGCTAAAACCATGAGTAATCTGAGGGAGATCATACGGGAATATATGACATTGTCGACTTCAGACCATATGTAACGAAAGTCCAGCTCATGGAGAAAATTCGGCTGAATAATTTATAAGAAACCAGTAAAGTACAAGACAAATGTGCTGGCGGCACAACACGGTTACTTTTCTTACGTACGCCAGTCAGACACTGTGAGCACAACCCTGTTGCGCCCATCTTGACTTAGTGTAAAGGGTTCGTAGCAAAACATAACACAACATTCAAAAGTACAGATTCATATACGTCATCAGCGGAGATAAATGCTACCTCAAGAAACCATCTGTAGAACAACAAATACTTCTGGATTCCAAAACTGCAACCTTCCAAAACTCTTCCCGTTTTGATAGCTCTTAACTAGTCCGTCATGTTTCCAAGCAAATATAATGCAGTATATATCCTAAATTGTTACCTCTTCAAGGCATGTCAATTAAGTACAATAACAGCAATATTTTGAGACCACCCCCAACTCGGTGACATTTGCAGGCCATTTCATACATGCATGACAACACACGAATATTTTCAAAGTTTATCATCCTTTTACCTGTAAAAGTACATTCTAAGGGTAATCATAATGTCAGTTAGGACAGGCAAGATTAGATCAATTCGCGTTATTTTGATATGTGCTCTTTTTATAGTCCTATGACTCGTATTTTTTACATGAAGCCAGAAAAGCAGATTTCTAGCATTTCCGACAGTACTTTAGGTCCTTTCTCTATAGAGAAGGTGATGATGTCGTGCAGTGCATCCGTTTGGGGGGTTT